TGGGTCCCAGACGGGCCAGCGTGTTTTCCGGACGGCCCCGGATGGCGTCAAGACGGCCCAAGAGGCCCCCAAGACGCCCCAAGACGGCTCAAAGAGGACCTCCAAGAGGGCCCGAAGAGGCAACAATCGCCCCATTCCCTTGTGGGAACTCACATGTTTAGAAAGTTCGCTTTAGTGATTTTGCCAGCGTCCAAGACGGCCCAAGAAGCCCCAAAGAGGGCCCCAAGACGGCCGAAAATGTCCCGACGAGGGCCCCAAGACGGCCCAAGAGGGCCCCACGACAGCTCAGGAGGCACTCGGGACCGCCCAAGACGGCCCCAAGAGGGCCCTAAGAGGAGCCCCAGGGAGGGAATGCGAACCCAAATTTCGCGGCCTCCGCCCCAAGAGGACTCCGAAGACCGCCAGCGAGCCCCCAAGGAATCCCAAACAGGACCCAGAGGCCCAAAAGAGCCCCGAAAGAGGCTCCGAAAGGCGCCCCAATGAGTTTCAAAATTGCCTCAAAGAGGCTGCCCAGAGGCTTCCCCAAAGACGCAAACAGGCATCCTCCTCCTCCTCCTCCTCTTCCTCATTCTGCCTCTCCACAACAGCTTTCCCTGCCACTCCTCCTCCTCCTCCTCCTCCTCCTCCTCCTCCTCCTCCTCCTCCTCCTCCTCTTCTCTAATGTTTACGCCTCCCACCCCTCTACACCCTTTTCTCTCTCACTTTGCGGCCTCTCTCTGCACACGTCCTCCTCCTTCATGTCCATATTGCCTCCGCCTTCTCCTTCATCCGACCCTATTACATACTCTTCGTGTTTACGTAACTTCACGTGTTCCCTTCTCTCTCCCGCTTCCTCCTTCTCTTGCCTCCTGCCTCTCATTACCTCGTACATTCTCCCTCCTGCCCCGTCCATCCTCCTCCCCGCCTCGGTGATCCGCCCTTCATTCCACCTCTCTCCGCCCTGCCTCTCCCCGTCCCTATCCTTGTCGCTTCGCATACCCCTGTCCTCTAACCTCTTCCTCCTCCTCCTCCTCCTCCTTTCTCCACCGTCCCCCTTCCCCACTCCCTCCTCCTTATACAGATTCTGCCAATTCCCGCCTTCCTCCACTCTGCTCGGCCTGCCACCTCCCTCCCCCCAATCTCGCCTCCTGGCACCGCCAGATTCCATTCGCACGCCGGAAGCCCGACCCTGGGGGCCTCAAGCCGCAGCGCACACGGGGCACCCAGGGTCCCTCCTCCTCCTCCTCCTCCTCCTCCTCCTCCTCCTCCCCCTCCTCCTCCTCCTCCTCCTCCTCCTCCTCCTCCTCCTCCTCCTCCTCCTCCTCCTCCTCCTCCTCCTCCTCCTCCTCCCTCCTCCTCCGTGGCGCCGCCCCTCTGGGGGCCTCCCCGGAGCCTTCCCAGAAGGTCCGTAAGGAGGCCCCACGACGGTCCCAGGAGGCCCACGGGCTGCCCCAGGAGGTTACCAGCATCGGGCGACGAAATCTATACATATCCACTGCTCCCTGACCATGCCCATCTTGAACCCAGGCGCTGTGTATGCGCCCTCCTGGCCAAGCCAGGAGGGCGTGGCGTATACACCGCTGCGGGGTTGAGGATGGGCCTGGCCAGGGAGCAGTGTATATGTATAGATTTCGTCGCCCTACAGCAGCACAACGGGGCCCCAAGAGGACGCCAGAGTGCCCGTACAGGATTTCCTAGGGGGTCAGACCCGTCAAAAATCCAAAGGGATCCCAACGCGCTTCCTTTTCTCAGAGATCAGGTTGAACTTTCGGGAATACACCCCCAGGGAACTATCCAGACGCACCCCTGTCGAGGATGGACGTGCACCCCCCCCACCGTGTATCCCCGAGCTGGGCCCCAAACATTGGTCCCAGCCGAACGTCCCACAAAGTCGGGGATGGGAGTCGCCATGCCCCTCGTTCGAGGTGCGAGTACTTAAAGGAGTCAGAGGTGAAGACCCTTTGCAACAAGGCACGGGAGATCCTCACCGACGAGAGCAACGTCCAGCAGGTCGATGCGCCCGTCACGATCTGTGGTGACATACACGGGCAGTTCTACGACCTCGTTGAGTTGTTCAAGGTCGGTGGGGACTGCCCAGACACCAATTATCTTTTCGTCGGCGATTTCGTCGACCGTGGATTCTACAGCGTGGAGACGCTGTTGTTGCTCCTCGCGCTGAAAGTGAGGTACCCCGACCGAATAACGCTCATCCGTGGCAACCACGAGAGTCGCCAGATCACGCAGGTGTATGGCTTCTACGACGAGTGTTTGCGCAAGTATGGGAGCGTCAACGTCTGGCGATACTGCACCGAGATTTTCGACTACCTGAGCTTGGCTGCTCTCATTGAGGAGAAAGTTTTCTGTGTGCACGGTGGTTTGTCCCATAGACGTTCTTGATAACATAGATGACGCTTTTGTCGCTTAAAGGATCGGCGCTTTTACTTGTTGTGGGCGGCATGTTTGTTACGTTTTCGGGTCCGGGATCGGCCTATAACCAACCTGTTTTTTTATGTCCGCTTTCATTGCGCTTCCTATGCGTTCTTAGGCATCACGATGCCACCTGCTTGACGCCCACTTCTTGGGGTGCCGTTTTTTTGCACGTTTTGGTCGCAAAGAGCGAAAGGTGGAAAACAGCACAGAACGGCACCCAGCGCTTCTCAAGAGCAGCTAAGGTCTGTCACCGTCCATCAACACCCTGGACGACGTGCGCCAAATCTACCGGAATCGGAGAATCGACAAATTGCATAAAGATGGATTTTCGGAGATCCGCGCAGATTCCTTGGATCTGCGCCGGGCCCCCTTGCGGCGCCGCAGGCGACCCCCGCCTGGCTGGCGCGCGCCGCGCGCCAGGGAGGGGGGTCCAGCGCCGATGCAAGAAAGCCGCGCGGAGCTCTGGAAGATTGTGTGTTGTGCCGTCTTTTCTTGTGCGGAAGATGATCAGTGGAGAGGAGGCATGTTGATGTCCCAGATGTCTTCGAAGTGTGTGAACGATGTTTTAGACATGTGGAAGCATGGTTAAAGGATTTCTAAGCATGCTTCAAGCATTCTTCAACCATGTGGAGAAGACGTTAATGTCAAGAATCGGACTGTTGGGGTGTCCGTTCTTATGGCATCCACGATCCTAAGGAAGCAGGAGGTGCCGCACGACGGGGCGATGTGCGACCTGATGTGGTCCGACCCAGAGGACCTCGAGGGCTGGGGCCTGTCCCCCCGCGGCGCGGGCTACCTCTTCGGGGGGGACATCGCGAGGCAGTTCAACCAGGCGAACGGCGTCGAGCTGATCGCGCGGGCCCACCAGCTGGTCATGGACTTAGCTTAGCTGCCTCCACACGCTCAAAACGTTCGTGCCTTGCTCAAAACACGTGCCTTGCTCAAAACAGTTTTGGGACGCAACACGTGCCTTGCTCAAAACGTTCGTGCCAATACATTGCGCGTTGGCTCAGCATATTGGCCCACATCTTGACGAACGTATCGTTTCAGACCTACATGTTCATACTACGTTCTGAGCTCCGTATCAATACGCCACGTGTTGCGTGCTGCGTCTCGGGGCAGCTAGGGGACTTAGATTTGTTTCTTTGTAGCAAACAGCAAATGCTGAGGGCGTTCTCTTTCGACATTTTGAACACCGTTGGCCGCCGTTGCTGTTACGTTATCAGGTGCAGGATCGGCCCGTGGCCTACCTGCACGTTTTTGTTTATCATCTTTCCGTGCCCATGGCATTATTGATACGTGTTTGGCCATCGCAATGCCACCTGCTTGATATACATTGCCTGGGTTGCCGTTTTCAACCCGCTTTGGTCGAATCACGAGCAAAACGTGGAAAACTGAAGAAACAGATAAAAAAGCTGGTGATGAAGAGCAACTCAGGTCATGGAGGGGTACAAGTGGATGTTCAACGAGGCGCTCGTGACGGTCTGGTCTGCCCCCAACTATTGCTACCGGTGCGGCAACGTCGCGGCCATCCTCGAGTTCGACGAGAACTTGAAGCGGCAGTTCAGGATCTTCGAGGCGGCCCCCGCGGAGGTGAGAGGCGTGCCGGCCAGGAAGTTGGTCCCTGACTACTTCCTGTGAGCCGCCCGCGAAGCTCAGAGGGTGCACTGCCTACCCCGCCTTCGCTTCCGGGCAACATCGAGGCATGCCACGCGCCTCCTCGTCAAGCAGCCTGGCCGCTGCGGGCCAGCCCACTTGGCATGAAGGAGACGGGCCCTCAGGGAAACGAGCCCTGGACCCTGGGGCCCTCCCCCAGAAGCACAATTCTTTTCAGCAAAAAAAATTGAAAAAAAACAGTTATTTTCACCCTGCAACGATTTTGACGGTCCTGGGGCCCGTGCAGGGCCCCGAGAGCCCGAAAACAGAGGAGAACCTCCTCAGGACCCGTTTCCCTCCGGACCCCTTTCCATCATGCCGCCCCCACGGGTGGCTCGGCATCCCTCGGGGCCCGCTCGGAGGCGAGAATGGCCAAAAGCGAGCAGGCCCGTTCGCCTCTTACGGGAGCCTTCCGCACGAGGTTGCGCTGGCGCGGCGGGCCGCTCGCTCGCGACCAGCTGGGCGGGACAGCGGCCCGGAGGCTCTCCAAAAGTGACGGCGCGCCGGCGGTGCGCCTGGTCAGGGCGAGGATGGCGGCGGCTCAGGGGCAGGGATGAGGGGGGGATATGTAGGAACAGGGGGAGACGCATCGACCTCTAATCGCTCATTCATCGCCGATGGGGGCCCGATGGGCCCACCTTGCCCGAGTTTGACAGGATTTGCCTTATCCCCCCCCCCACACCCCGTGACCGATTTTCCAGGGCCCCATCCAGTTCAGTCCCCATCGGCCGCCTCCAGCTGGTGATGTCAGCGGGATCGAGGCCCAGAGCAAGAGAGGAGGCGTGCCAGCCGTGATTGCGCAGCTCGCTGGCCGTTGTCATGATAGCTTATGGTATGCGTGCTCTGAGCCTCGCGACCTGTCCCAGGCCGTACCACCAGCCTCGGCCAGCGGAGCCTCTCTTCCAGTCCCAGGTCCTCCGCCCCTGTGCTCCTCGCACTGGCAAGGCCTCTTGGGTGGTGCGCGGGTTTGTCAGAGGCAACGCTGGGGGTGGGGTGGGGTGGGGGTACAGTCAACCCGCATAGTGAGGATGGGTAATCTTTCCCAAGGGCACCCTTGTATCCTTGCCTCCTGCGTCCATGCTTGGACACGTTCCTTGGCCGCGCCCCGCTCGAAACGCTTCGAAATAGGCGCCCAAGGCCCTTGCATCCTTATCGCGCATCCTTACTATACTGGTTGCCTGTAGGCTCGGGGGGGGAGGGAGAAGGGAGGGAGGAGGAAGCAGGAGTAGGAGGAGTAGGAGGAGGAGGAAGGAGGAGGAGGAGGGAGGGAGGAGGAGGAGGAGGAGGAGGAGGAGGAGGAGGAGGAGGAGGAGGAGGAGGAGGGAGCGAGAGAGGAGGAGGAGGAGGAGGAGGAGGAGGAGGAGGAGGAGGAGGAGGAGGAGGAGAGGAGGAGGAGGAGGAGGAGGAGGGCGGAGGAGGAGGAGGAGGGAGGAGGGAGGAGGGAGGAGGGAGGAGGAGAGGAGCGGAGGAGGGAGGAGGGAGGAGGGAGGAGGGATGAGGGATGGAGGGAGAGGGTAGGAGGAGGAGGGAGGATGGGAGGGGGAGGACGGGAGGGGGAGGAGGGAGAGGGAGGGGGAGGAGGGAGGAGGGAGGTGGGAGGAGGGAGGAGGGAGGAGGAGGATGAGGCGGAGGAGGAGGAGGAGGAGGAGGAGGAGGAGGAAGAGGAAGAGAAGAGGAGAGAGGAGGAGGAGGATGGAGGAGGAGGAGGAGGAGGAGGAGGAGGAGGAGATGAGGGAGGAGTGAGGAGGAGGGAGGAGGAGGAGGAGGAGGAGAAAGAGAGGAGGATGAGGCGGAGGAGGAGGAGGATGAGGAGGAGGTGAGAGGAGGGAGGAGGAGGAGGAGGAAGGCGGAGAGGAGGGGAGGAGGAGGAGGGAGGAGGAGGAGGAGGAGGGAGGAGGAGGAGGAGGAGGAGGAGGAGGCAGGAGGAGGAGGAGGAGGAGGAGGAGAGGAGGAGGAGGAGGAGGAGGAAAGCGACCACAGTCGCTCGCCATCGCCGAGGGGGGGCTCGACGGGCCCACCCTTGCCCAGGAGCGCGGCGGTTCGCTATCTGGGGCCCACATCGCCGATCTAATCGAGGAGTGCAGAGCCGCTCCAGGTCGACGTCTCCCTCCCCCCCACCCACCCCACCCACGCCCACCCCCCACCCCCCCCCGCCCAGGAGCGTGCGGATTACTCCAGATTTCGTAATACAGGGAGGGGGGTCTCATTTCGGGGGGGGTCTCTTCCAGGCTATCTTGGAGGGCCTGGAGGGCCTGGGGGTCTGGGGACGAGGTTTTGGAGGGTTCTCCGACGGGGGAGGTCTGAAATGGCTTGTTTTGGAGGGTCCAGACCCCCTCCCTTTTATTACGAAATCTGGAGTATCCATGGCTTTTTGCCGATCTATCGGCGACGTACCGCCGATTCCCGGTCGACTTCCCCCCACCCACCCACCCACCCGAGCCGGCTCCCCCCCCGAATCTGCCCTTCCGTGTGGGGGGGGGTCTTCCCGTTCCTGTCGCCCGCACGCCTGCTTGGACGGCTGCACGTCCACGCTTCCGATGTTCGCTGCGGTAGCGTTCGAACTCTGACCGAGATCTGCAGATCCACCCGTCCTGTGGTTCACCCCCCTTCCTCGCCGTCCTTCTGTCTTCCTCCGTTGCCTCGTGTACGAAATCTTGTGCGGCCTTCTCCTGCTCCTCGTCCTTCTCCAGCCCATGATCCTCCTTCTCCTCGTCCTCCTTCCTCCCCTCCGTGCTCTTCATCCTCACCCTCTCGCAGCCAGCTCTTGGAGCAAACTGGGCAAGCACAACGGCTCTAAACTCCCTTGCTGCCCAGATTTTCGGCATGCCCAGACACATGGCGTCTTCACTTTCTCAGTATGGGGTTCGCAGAGGTCTGGACATTTTTCACGGGGCCGGCTCTTCAGGCTGGGCCATTCTTTGACATGACCGAGCCCGTCGAGGGCCCCCAGAGGCCGAAAGTTGAGAACAAGTTCCGCCTTGAGTTTTTCGAGACGTTCGACGTCTGGGTGTGGCCGAGGCGAGTCTGTGGTCGCCATTTGGGAAAGAGCGTGTTCTACCGCTGCTGGCGGAAAACCGGGGGGGGTCACTACCGGTTCGAACCCCTCCCCCCCCCCCCCCCCCTCCGGAAAACCGGGGGGGGTCACTACCGGTTCGAACCCTCCCCCCCCCCCCCGTTCATCATGAAAAGGGGGGGGGGTCACTACCGGTTCGAACCCCCCCCCCCCTCCCCTCGAAAACCGAGTGGGGGTGCGGACAGTGGTGGGGACGGTGTTGGTGGGGACAGTGGTGAGGGGACAGCGGGACAGTGGTGGGGACAGTGGGACAGTGGGACAGTGGTGGGGACGGTAGTGGTGGGGACAGTGGTGGGGACAATGGTGGGAACAGGGGGGACAGTGGACAATGGTGGGACGGTGGTGGTGGGGCAGTGGTGTGGGGACAGTGGGAATGAGGTGGAAACAGTGGGACAGTGGAGGGTACAATGGTGGTGGGGACAGTGGTGAAGGCGGTGGCGAGGACGGCGGTGGGACAATGGGACAGAGGTACAGTGGGGACAGTGGTGGGGACAGTGGGGACAGTGGTGGGAACAGTGGGACAGCTCAGTGGGACAGCGGAGGAGTCAGTGGGACAGTGGGGACAGTGGGGATAGTCGGGCAGTGGTTGGGGCCGTGGAGACAGTGGGGAGAGTGGAACCGTGGTGGGAACAGTGGTGGGGACAGTGGGGACAGTGCGACAGTGGTGGGGGCACTGGTGGGGACAGTAGGGACGGTGGTGGAACCAGTGGGGACAGTGGTGGTGAGGACAGTGGTGCTGGGAACAACAGTGGGGGATGTGATGCGGACGGTGGTAGGGACCGGGAGTCGTTTGCTGGCGGTGAGGGGTTCGAACCGGTAGTGATCCCCCTTCGGTTTTCGAGGGGGGGGGGGTTCGAACCGGTAGTGACCCCCCCCGGTTTTCCGGATCCGGAGGGGGGGGGGGGAGGGGTTCGAACCGTAGTGACCCCTCCGGTTTCGAGGGGGAAGGGGGGGGGGGGTTAGGAGAGGGGGAGGTTTTTTGGGGGGAGGGGGGGGGGGGGTCCAGCGGGGGGGGGGGGGGTTCGGAAGGGGGGGGGGGGGCGACCCCTGGGTTCCAGAGAAAAAAGGTTTGCAATTTTCCACAGTAAAGCGGCGGTGGATCACGCTCACTCCCATTTGGGGAACCCAAAAGAGACCGCACCGCTCATCCCCAGACCTCTCCCCGGGTGCGTTGTGACAAGAATTGGGAGGCGAAACCAGCGGGGGCAACGAGGGCCTCCCAGGAGGCGCCAAAAAATGAAACCGAGGCAAGGGTAGCGGTATCGGTACCTGTTCATCCTCTGACCACCGTCCACCCCGATACGCCGTTCCCAGAAGTCGGGACCTTTTCCACGGGACCCCCCAGAGGCCGAAAGTTGCGAGCAATCTCCGCCCTCAGCTTCTCGAGACGTTGGAGGTCGTGGTGTGGCTGACCCTTTCCCCAGGGCCGGGTGTTCATCGCGAGTCGGTTTTTGACGGGGCCCGGCGAGGGATCCAAGAGTCCGAAAATAGCAAAACCTTCCAGTCGTGATTCTGCCGCGGCGCAAAAATGTCTGTGCTTCCGTCTATGATCATTGTCGCCCTCCCTGATCATTGGATACTGGAAGTTTCCGGTAGCGACCGACGAGATCGGTCGTTACGGATCTTGCTTCGACTTCTGGGATCGGTCGCGTTCAACTTGCTTCAAAACCGGTCGCGGCCAGTTTGGAGTGCGTGCCCATCGGCCGCTGCCGATGGTGACCGAACAAGACGTATGGATATCCAGTGATCTGGGCGGCGGCGGGCGGGGGCGAGGGGGGGGGGCGAGGGGGACCGACGGGGCCCATGCCGAGGGGGGCCGCCACGAAGGGGCTCAGCACCTCCTCGAGGAGGCGCCGCTCCCTCGAGGAGGTGGGCCCCCGAAGAGTGTCCCCGAAGCCTCCCAGAACGACCCTGGCGACCCCCCCAGGGGCGACCCCTCCCCCAGTGGAGACCCCCCCCCCAAAGTGGTGAGACCCCGCCTTTCCCCAGGCCCGACGTCGCAAGAAGATTGCAGCATCGCCCATGTCTGCGAAGTCGGGGAAGACCGCCCGAAGAATTGCAAGAGGGCCCCGTGGCCCAAAGTCGGGCAGAACCGCCCGCTGTGTCATGTTGCTCCCCTCGTACTTGAGGACCACCTCCCAGAAATAACTCCGAGCACCCAGAAGAGTATCGAAACAGCGCCGAACGAGTATCGCTTCTTCGGGGCCCGACGTGGGAGAAAACCCTCAGGCTTCGGCAATTTTCTAGTGCTCGAGATTCTTTCGGGTGGTCCAGGCTACAGTCGGGCCGCTGGAGAAGGAACCCTTTTCGTTGGGGCGGGGCTCCGGGTTCCTTCACCGTTTCGCAGTTCGCCTCGCGTTTTCCTCGGGCCTTCGAGGGGAAGCCGGAGTTCCACTTCTGGACAACAGGGGCCTCGTTCCTTCTTCAGGGTTCCTGAGGTCAGCGCCCCGACTGCACAGCCGGCTGGAGCAGCATCACCGCCGTGAGAAACCCGGCGATGCCGCCCCCCCCCCCCCCGGGGCTCGGCACCCGCCCCTCTCGACGGCGGGCCTCTGGGGGCCCGCCGCGGGCGCCGCTGCGGCCGGCCGCGCCTCGCCGCCGCAGGAGCTCGAGGCGACCACCGAGAGCCAGATCGACGACCGCGCCCTGCGGGCCCTGCAGAGCCTCCCCCCCGGCGACGCCATGGAGGCGGGGGGCGCTCTCCCCCCCCCGGGGGGGGGGGGGGAGGAGGAGGAGGAGGAGGAGGAGGAGGAGGAGGAGGGAGGAGGAGGAGGAGGAGGAGGAGGAGGAGGAGGAGGAGGAGGAGGAGGAGGAGGAGGAGGAGGAGGAGGAGGAGGAGGAGGAGGGAGGAGGAGGGGAGGAGGAGGAGGAGGAGGAGGAGGGAGGAGGAGGAGGAGGAGGAGGGCCCTGATATTCTGGCGTTGCACTTCTTGTTGGCCGCGGGCGGTTCTGCCCCGTCTCGGACCCCAGGACCCTCGCAGATCGACCCGGTTCGAAACAGCGGAAAGATCGGGTCCCGGGCTTTGGCGGTGATTTGTTGCGATGTTGCAGTGCTTTGCGCTGGGGAGAGGAGGAGGAGGAGGAGGAGGAGGAGGAGGAGGAGGAGGAGGAGGAGGAGGAGCAGGAGCAGGAGCAGGAGGAGCAGGAGGAGCAGGAGGAGCAGGAGGAGCAGGAGGAGCAGGAGCAGTTGGAGGAGGAGGAGAAGGAGGAGGAGGAGGAGGAGGGAGGAGGAGCAGGAACAGGAGCAGCAGGAGCAGGAGGAGGGTCATATGAGGGGCAGTCGAGACAATAGTAGCTGGCCTTTGGGCGGGGCCCTCGTCGCAACAGCTGGACGCAGCTTGGACAACTGGCGCGTTTGGACCCCAGGAGGGCTCCGATTGTGAGCTGCTGTTGTCTCACCGCGCCCTCTGACCTCCTATCCTCTTTCCTTCCTTTTTCTCGCCTCGTGGCCTCGGCCTCAGACGGGGAAAAGGTACCCATGCGGTACGGCTACCCTTGCCTCGCCTTCGCCAGTTGGGCCTCCCGGGAGGCCCTTGCCGCCACCGCTGGATTCGCTTCTGAACTCTTGCCAAAGCGCACCCTGGGAGACGGGGAGCAGCGGCATCGGTATCTTTTGGTTCCCCCACGGCCTCGACAGCGCCGTCGCAGACGTGACAAAGTCTCCCTCTGGCAAGGTTTCGGGCTGCGCGCAGACAACCCCCGAGGTAGTAGGTGAATCCCGGCTGGCCTCACCAGGCCCCCCCGAGTAGTCTGGGACGGCCTCAACGCCTGAGCACCAGGCCTGTTGAGGCCAGCTGGGACCATCTGAAGGGGTCTGTTTGTGCGCATCCCGAAGCCTTACCACTCCCCCTGCGTCCTTTTCTCGTCTCGTGGCCTTGGCCTCGTCAGCGCCGCCGCAGACGTGAGAAAGCGGCCAAACGAGTTTCGCACATATATATATATATATATATATACACACACACATACAGAGAGGGAGAGTGAGAGAGAGAGAGCGAGAGAGAGAGAGAGAGAAAAACAAATATCCCGGCAAAGCAACCGAACAGCGATGTGTAGAAGCATAGCTGGAAACATTGCCTGTGGTATTCATGTAAGAGTGCTGTTGTAGAATTCTGGTGTTCTCGCAGTCGCATTCGGATTCGCAGTGGCAGTCGCAGTGGTAACATCAGCGGCAGTCGCAGTGGCACTGTCAGTAGTTGCAGTAGCAATAGCTACACTAGCAGCAGCAACAGCAGCAGCAGTAACAGTAACAGTAGTAGTAGCAGTAGAAGTAGTAGTGATGGTAGTAGTGGTAACAGTGAAGTCGTAGTTGTAGTGTGTGGAGTGAACGAGTAGGAGTAATGGGAGCAATGGTAGTAGCAGTAGAAACACTGCTTTCGATAACGGTATCTCCAAATGTTCCCTGCCGCAGGCTGAGGAGCAGCGCTGTTCAATGCAGCAGGGTCAGGAGCACCGCCGCCAGACCGAGAACTATCAGCATGTCCTGGCATTAAGGTGTGCAGTAGGCGCTGCGCAGTTCCTGTGAAAGGAAAACTTCGAAAGCAGGGCTGTAGCCAAGAAGGCTACGGGGACGATGATGATGATGAAGATGATGAGTCTTGGAAGTCTGAGAAGTGGAAGAGCACGAAGTGGCGTACAGTTGGCTCCGGGCATTCAAAATGTGGCCCGGGAGTGGAGTTCTGGGAAGTGGAAGAGCACGAAGTGGCCTACAGTTGGCTCCGGGCATTCAAAATGTGGCCCGGGAGTGGTGTTCTGGGAAATTCAAGATCACGAAGTGACCTACAGGTGGCTCCGGGCATCCAAAATGTAGCCCGGAACTAAGTTTTGGGAAGTGGAAGAGCACGAAGTGGCCTACAGTTGGCTCCGGGCATCCAACATGTGGCCTGGGAACGGAGTTCTGGGAAGTCGAAGAGCACGAAGTGGCTTACAGTTGGCTCCGGGCATTCAAAATGTGGCCCGGGAGTGGAGTTCTGGGAGGTCGAAGAGCACGAAGTGTGCGACTGTTTGCTTAAAACAAACCCGGCTTTGAGCCCGGCCCTCGCTGTCCGGGTTCCGCCCAGACCCCCCTGGGGAGTCATCTGATGTTTTCTTTTGACCCCATTAGAAACTTATCAGTCTTCGCAGTTAGGTAATATAGCCGGAGTGCCGTATCCCAAAACAAGGTTTTTGAACTCACTACGGTTTCCAAGGTCGATTGCGTGCCCGGGCTGGCATGGCATGTTAGAACATGATAACATGATGTTTGCACATGAGATGTTTACACGAAAACTTGTGTGACGCATGCCTATCAGGAAGCTAACGCTAGAGGGTGCCGTATTCTCTCGCACCTGGTCGACGAGTAAGCTGTCGGGTCAGCACTGTCAGAGGCTTCACCGCCATGCTGTGAACTCGGAAGCAATTGTAAGAGGAAGCGGGGGAGGGCGCGGAAGCGCGGGGCATGTCTCAAAAGAAAAATCGTGACGTCGAACGTTTGGGGAGAGCGGCAGGCAGGGCGCGCATGACGGATACTGAGGCGGCAGAAGCGCCGACGGCGGGGACGGGGAGGCGGAGGCAGAGGCGCCGCAGCGGGAGGCGGGAGGAGGGAGGAGGGAAGAGGAGCCAGGCGGGAAGCGGGAAGAGGGAGACGGGAGAAGGAATGAGAGAGGTTGTGATTGGAGCCCCTGTGCTACGAAACGTCTCAGGCAGAACGGGCCAGACCATCTCGCGCGCAACACCTTCGAGCTTCGCATTGTGAGGATGGCTCAGGCGAAACGGGCCAGACCACCTCGCGAGCAACATCTTGGAGCTCAGTATTGGAAGGATGTCTCAAATGAAACGGGCCGGACAACCTCTCGCACACGTTCTGACAAGTCCACGTCACATTCGCTTCCCGTCAGGCCCTCTCCTGCAACTGCCTTCCGTCTCCCTCCTCCTCCTCCCCCTCCTCCTGCCTGCTCCCTCATCCACATCATCCTCCTCCTTTTCCCTTCCATTTCCTCCTCCTCCTCCTCCCCCTCCTCCTCCTCCTCCTTCACCTCCTCTTCATCCCGAACCGCATCTCGGAACCCAGAGTTGCGAGGATGTCTCCAGCGTAACGGGTTGGACCACCTCGCGCGCGGCATCTCGGACCCCAGAGTTGCGACGATGTTTCGGGCGAAACGTGCTGCAAGGAAGTCTCAAGCGAAACGGGGGGCCGGACCACCTCGATCGCGTCGTCTCAGAGTTCCGAGTTGTGGGGGCATCCTGGGGCCTCCCGGGGCCTCCTGGGGACCTCCTGGGGTTTCCTCCTGGGCTTCGTGTGGCCTCCTGGACCCCACCTGAGGCTTCCTGAAGCCTCTTAGGGCTCCCAGGGGGGATATCTAACATGTGGCCGTCTGGGCCCCCCCAAATGGGGAGGGGGGGGGGGGCGGGGCCACAAGAGCAGGAAAAATCAACGAATCGACACCAGATGTGTATTAACTTGACACGTTCTGATAGGGGGCTTCCTGGGGCCTCCTGAGAGCCTCCTGGGAACCTCCTGGGGACCCCTGGGGCCTGTCCTGGGCGTCCTGCGGCCTCCTGAAGCTCTCTGGGGCTTCCTGGGGCTCCCAGGGTCCCAGGGGGGACATGTAACATGTGGTCTTCTGGGTCCCCAGGCTGGACCACCTCTTGCGCGGCATCTGGGAGCTCAGAGTTGCGAGAATGTCTTGTGGAAAACGGGCCGGACCCCCTTGCGCACGGCATCTCAGAGCTCAGAGTTGCAAGGATGTCTCGGGCGAGACGGGCCGGACCACCTCGCGCAGGGTATCTCAGAATTCAGATTTGCGAGGATGTCTCAGGCGAAACGGGCTGGAACACGTCGCGCGCGGCATCTCCGAGGTCAGCGTTGCGAGGATGTCTCAGGCGAAATGGGCTGGACCACCTCTTGCGCGGCAGCTCAGAGCTCAGAGTTTCGAGGATGTCTCAGGCGAAACGGGCCAGACCACTTCGCGCGCGGCATCTCAGAGCTCAAAGGTTCGAGGACGTCTCCGACGAAACGGGCCGGACCACCTCTCGCGCGGCATCTCGGAATGCAAAAGTGCATGGATGTCTCAAGTGAAACGGGCCAGACCACCTCTTGGGCGGCATGTCGGGGCTCAGAGTTTGGAGGATGTCTCAAGCGAAACGGGCCGGACCACCTCTCGCGCGGCATCAGAGAGCGCAGAGTTGCAAGGATGGCTCAGGCAAAACGGGCCGGACCACCTCTCGCGCGGCATCTCGGAATGCAAAAGTGCGAGGATGTCTCAAGCGAAACGGGCCGGACCACTTCTTGGGCGGCATGTCGGGGCTCAGAGTTTGGAGGATGTCTCAGGCGAAACGGGCCGGACCACCTCTTGCGCGGCATCTCGGAGAGCAGAGTTTGGAGGACGTCTCAGGCGAAATGGCTGGACAACCTCTTGCGCGGCATCTCAGAATTCAGAGTTGCGAGGATGTCTCAGGCGAAACGCGCCGGACCACCTCGCGCACGGCATCTCAGAGCTCAGAGTTTGGAGGATGTCTCAGGCGATACGGGCCGGACCACCTCTCGCGCGGCATTTGGGAGCTCAGAGTTTGGAGGATGTCTCAGGCGAAACAGGCCGGATCACCTCTCGCGCGGCATTTGGGAGCTCAGAGTTTGGAGGATGTCTCAGGCGAAACGGGCCGGATCACCTCTCGCGCGGCATCTGGGAGCTCAGAGTTTGGAGGATGTCTCAGGCGAAACGGGCCGGACCACCTCTCGCGCGGCATCTGGGAATTCAGAGTTTGGAGGATGTCTCACGCAACGGCCAAACCCGGACAACTTAGAAACGAGAGTTGCGAGGATGTCTCAGGCGAAACGGCCCAGACCACCAATTGTTTTGAGGACGTCTCTGCTTTGAATTTCCTCGGCCGGAGTTAGCTTCTATCACAATAGCGCCCCGTTCAGCAAGCTGTTTGGGGAAAGAAGAGGGGAGAGAGAGAGAGAGACAGAGCGATAGAGAGAGAGAGAGAAAGAGAGAGAGAGAGAGCATCTACCAAACGATATTATTGATCGCCGTAACATGGTCCAACACAAGGCCAACGCTGCTGCATCGGCTCGGCGGCGGGAATGGCAGCACAAGTTCCGCGCAGGTTTGCACATATGGTGTCATTTAGCGTGTTGTTTTACTGTGGTGAGGGCTGCTTAATAGAATCAACGGTGTGTGTGTGTGTGTGTCTGCCCTGCTCCCTTGATGCTGAACATGCTGCTTCCTGTTCTGATCCTCCTCTTTCTCCTGGCTGCGGACAAGATTCGCCGAGGGACAATTTATTGGCGTGGCGAGTTTTCCGACGTCGTCGCATACCCTGGCCCCTGGAAGTGCCTCAGGCATCATCCACATGGCCATCCGCCTGTGGCTCAGCTGCGGGGTCGGGGCCTTTACGAGGGCCCTGGCGGCCCCTCAATACGCTCTGCCGGCCTCTTGAGAGGGCCACTGCTGGCCCTGGAGGGGTCCAAGCCCTGGCGGCCACTGAAGGAGACCTTGCGGCGCCGTAAGGGGTCTCCGCGGGCCCTCGGAGGTCCGGGTGGCACAACAAAAAGTCACGGCGGCTCCTTCACGGGTCATGGCGGGTCCACTCGTGGATCCCCCCACGGCCAGAACAAAGGGTCCTCCAGTGCACGCTGAAGGGTCCCCCAAGGGCCCAGTTCAGGGTCCGCCATGGCCCGTCTGGGAGCTAGAGACGGTGGCCCAGCAAACGGGGGCGCGGAGAACACCGATTTCCACGTTTGCCTGTGCCCCCCGCTTCGGGTGCCCAGGGCGCCGTCGACGGGGGCATCGCACACGGGGGCAGACGGAAAAGCTCAAGACCCCGTCTAGCTGAGCCCCCGCTTTCGAAGCCCCGAGCAACCTGAGGGTCTCCCGGGGCCTGGCGCGTGGCCGTTCTGGCTTGAGGGCCGACGGCCCCGCAGCCGCCCGCTCCGCGGGCACGGGCGCTCGGCGCCGAGGCCGCCGCCCCCCCAGTGCTGGCGCGGCCCTGCGGGGGCCAGCGCCGTGGCGGCGAAGGTGGCGGCCGCGGCCAGCGAGCGCGGTGATGGGCCGGCGCCGGGGGCCAGCCGGGGAGCCCTCTCGGGGGCAGTTGGAGGTGCCCCCCGGCCCTGGGTGCCCCCCCCCAGCTTTTCGGTGCAGTTTTGGAGCCCCTGGGGCCCTCTGGGCCTCGTCAGGGGTGCTCCGTAGGCCTCGGTGGCCTCCTTGGATCACGCAGTGGCGAAGCGTCCCGGCTCGCCTAGAGGCCCACCCAAAAATGTCCTCAGCACCTGCTGTGGTCTGCACACAATGTTCTTAGAATATGTCTGGCTGGGGCTGTCGTGTTTCAACACATCGGGCTCATGTTCTAAGAGCATTGCTTCTGTTGTTGGAACATCCTGGGGTTCGAAGAACACTTCGTGGCAGGGCTATAGGGATGCCGGGGCGGTCGGTCCCTGCTCCATTGGAAGCCCTGGAGGCACCCTGGGCCAGGGGCACTTCTAGCAACGCCCGACCCTCCCCGCCGCGGAGCGGCGCGCGCACCCGGCGGCGACGGGCGGGCGCAGCCGGAGCCGGAGCCCGGCCCGCTCCAGGCCAGCGGACGCCCGGGGGCCGCGCGGCGAGCGCGTGGCGCTCTGCTGGGACGTCGAGGATCAAACGACGCGAAGATCGGGACAAAATCGGATCGGGATAACTCGAAATCTCTGAGAATCGGCGGGTTTGGAGGGTGTATTGGGCGCCGCGGCCGCTCCAGAGCGTTCCGGAACACTCTGAGAGCGCTCCAGAACGCTCTGGAGCGATTTATCCCGATCCTAGCCCTGTTTTAGAGGAGCACATCGCCCTTCGCCGCCGCGCGGACGGGCCTGTGCTTGGGGTGCCGATGGGCACGCTGCCGCCCCCGTTCAACCCACAGCAGAACTCGCAGCTGGGCGCGCCCTTCGTGTACTCGGCCGCCCAGTACGACCAAGCACTCCGCGGCGGGGGCGCGGGGGCGACGCTCCCCAACGTCGGGTCGCAGTCGGCTGCCGCGGCCCGCGGGGTCGGCGCTGCCGCCGCGGGGAGGCCTTCGTCGGGCGACCCCTCCTCGGAGGCGCCCGGGGGCCGCTGCGATACGGCTGCTCGCGAGGCCGTGTTGGCGGACCTGGCGGGGCGGGGATATTTCGTGATGGCCGACGTGGCCCACGGGTTCGACTACGTGGCGTACGAGGGGGACCCGGTGCGGCACCACGGCTCCATCTTCGTCAGCGTGTTGGACGAGCGCCGCGAGATATCCCCCCGGGAGCTGGTCCTCTACAATCGCATCGCCGCGGGTGCGAGCAAGGTTGCCGTGCTGGCCACCGCGAGCGACGGGTCTGGCGTGCGGTATTACGCGATATCGGGAGAGGAGCGGTGAGGCGACATGACGCGGCCCCTCTGCGGCTTGGTAGAGTTAGTCGTCCTTGTCGTCGTTCTCGTCGCCCCCTAAATCCTTGTCCTTCTCGTCAACACTTCCGTGGCGGCGGCTTTGGCAACGGAGCTTCAGTGTCCAACGAGTCTGGCTGCCGCTGTCTGGGTGTGCGGGCGGCAGAAAATTCACCAGGGCCTGGTCCTCAGATTTTGTTGAGGTCCCACAAGGAGGGTCCCCCAGGGACCGAGGGACCGAGCACAACGCTGTTTAGCTTGGGTTTGGCCCCTGTTTTGTTGTTCGTTTAGTTGTTCGTAGTTGTTTCATTGTGCTTCGTTGCGTCGTGTTTTTTTGGCACCCGTTTCGTTATGAAGGTTCGTTTTAGTTTTCCGATCTAAGCGCCAACGCGTTTTCAACATCGTTGTCCTTGGTCGCACGGTGGGGTCCCCAAGGAGTTGCCCGTGGCCCAGGTCCCCGTTGAGTGGTCCCCGACTAAGGTTCTAGCAGGGCTTGTTTAAGGATCCCCCGGGGCCTCCCAAAGGGGGCCCTCCAGGGCCAGCGCAAGTGCCACGCAGAGCCCGACGAAGGTCACCGTATGGCCTAAAAGAGTTGCTGCCGCGCGCACACGCTAAATTGTGAAATTGTGTTCGCTCGGATTTGGGCAGTTTGCGAAGAAACGGCTTGCGCGCGGACGGCGTACCCTCGAGAAATGGCACAAGAGTGAGGAAAGGAATGAGGACGGCGATGGCGAGGCCGATGATGCGGACGAGGGCTAGGAAGGGGTGAAGAGGAGGATGTAGGAGGAGGAGGAGGAGGAAGAGAAGGAGATGAACGAGGACGTCCAGGAGGCGGAGGAGGAGGATGAGGAGCAGGAGGAGGAGGAGGAGGAGGAGGAGGAGGAGGAGGAGGGATAGCCGCAGCTTGTGATGTGGGAGCAGCAGCAGTTTGAGGTGAGCAGCCGTAGGAGTTGGACTAGCAGAGGCGGGAGGACAGAGCGCGGGGGGGCGCACGAGCGGGAGCAGAAGCATGAGATGGGAGAGGAAGAGCAGGAGCTGGAACAGCAGGAGCACGAGACGGGGTAGGGGAGGGTGCGAGGAGGCAGCAGAGGGGGGCAGGGGGGAGGGGGGAGGGCTTCTTGGAAACACCCCCTCTTCTAAGAAGACGCGGGCCTCGTCTACAGATCATTCTAAGAGGCCGTTCCCTTCTTCCCCTATACGGCCGGACCGAGGCACCGAGGTATAAGATCGAGGTCGGTTCGGGGAGGGTACCCTTAGTGTGTTCCGTGCTTGTTGGATGTTCTTGTGCATCCTGGGAGAGTGCACCCTCGAATGTGATTCGGTTTGGTCGGCGGAGGGTCTCATGTTCTCGAATGCTGCTAGTATGTCCTAGGTCGGGCCGCACCCCAACTGTACGCGCCGCTAACGAGGCGGGCGGGGGGAGGGTGTGCGGAAAGCAGGAGGAGAGGACGCAGGAGCCCGAGACCTGTGCTTGCTGCCCCCGCGCCAGGTCCTGCAGAAGGTGGAGGACCTCGTCAACGCCCAGGGCGGGAAGTGCCGCAACCTCTCCTCGATCTTGCAGAGCGTCTGCAGGAACCCGAAGAGGAGGACGAGGACGAGGAGGAGGAGGAGGAGGAGGAGGAAGTCGCACTACGTGTACTTTTCCTTTTTTTTTCCCCCTTTCAGTCAGCGACTCCTGGAGCGGTGCTCAATGAGTAGCCCGGCTCCTTAGATCAACCCCCGAGGGTCGACAGGCCTTGGGGGTGGGGAGGGCTACGTCCGAAGGACCTTTCAGCCGTCAGGAATCAGAAGGAGGAGAAGGAGGAGGCGGAGGAGGAGGAGGAGGTGGACGAGGAGGAAGGTCAGTACTTACCAAATCACCCCCACCCAACCAGCCCCAGATCCAACCAAAGTTCGGGTTGGGGCGTATACGGGTTTCATCTTAATTTCTCCGTGCTCCAGTCCCCCACTGGAAATTGACAGGCCCAACGGCGACTCCAGGCTGGGTGGAAGGTGCCCTGGTAGGTGGTCAGGAGGAGACGGACCGTCAGTGCGATGAGGAGAAGATGGGCGAGGAGGAGATCGAGGAAACAAAGCGAACAACATGAGCCATAGCCACCATCCCCCGAGATTACCGGCACGGTCCTTGCGCGTCGGGTGTATGGTCCTTGTGCGGGGCATGGTCCTTGCCCGGTCTCTACAGGCCCAGAGCAGTGGAGCATTTTCGCCGCGCGCGCGCGCCCGCAGTGCCCAGGGGCCGACGCGCAGGTACCATGCAGGGCCCGGGGGCCGACGCGCTGGGACCATGCCCACGCTCCAAAGGCCCAAGCCCTGGCGGTGCAGTGGAGCACTCTCGCCCCGCGCGCGCGCGCCCCGGCAGTGCCCAGGGGCCGACGTGCCGGTACCATGCACGGCCTCGCGGTTCGTGTCCCCGGGTGGAGCTCCACCGAAGGCTCCTGTGGTAGCGTAATCTTGCGTCCCCAAGCCCACTTCGGCACACCCTTTACATGGTTCGTGGCCCCATTGGGAGCCTCGCTGAAGGCTCCAGTGGCGACGATCACACGCGTCCCCCAACCAATATTTTGGCACACCCCTCACACGTTCCGTGGCCCCACAGGGATTCCACCGACGTCTCCTGTGGCAGGGTTCGCATGCGCCCCCCCCGCCCATTTCGGCACACGCCTCACACGTTTCGTGGCCGCAAGGAGCAACGAAGGCTCTTGTGACAGGGCCAGCATGGGTCCCCCAGCCCATGTCGGCACACCCGTAACCCGTTTCGCGGCACCATATCCGCATGTCCTGTGCCTCATCCCTCCCGCGGCGCGCTACCTACGAGGGGAGGAGGGGGGGTCACACACTGCGCGATTCGCAGCTGCGTATGATTGGGCCTTTCGCCTGGCTGACTCAATTGTTCCAACCATCCTGTGGTGTTGGGTCCTCGTTTTGACGGGACAGCGCCGCGCGTCTTCCTCCTCCCTCCTCCTCCTCCTCCTCCTCCTCCTCCTCCTCCTCCTCCTCCTCCTCCTCCTCCTCCTCCTCCTCCTCCTCCTCCTCCTCCTCCGCCTCAGCCCGCTGGCATTGAAAGGATACCGCTGTCACCGCGGGCAGATCTCAGCGGCCGCGCCCAGCCCCTGCCGTGCGCGCGCGCCCGCCCATGCAAGATTTGACAAAAAGGAGCTGGCGGCACCAAGAAGAAGAAGGAGGAGAAGCTGCGCCGCGGTGGTGGCGTTGCAAGTACAGGCGACCCTCCTGATGCTGCTGCCCCTCGGGATGATGATCGGTCGCGTTCCAGCCGAGCCGTCAGCGAGGACAAAATTGACTTGGATGGCGCATGTTGGGACGTACATATCCAGGGCCTCATTCATTGAGAATTGCAGTCGAAGCTCAAATAATTCCAGAATGAAATCACCGATCTTGCCTCGGCCTCGGCAAGTGACGCAGTAGGAAAGGCAGTCGGTCCAGTCATGGCGGCCATCGAAGCAGTGGAAGATGCAATCAAATCGGTCCCGATCACGCGCAAGGCGCAGGTTGAAACCCAGCTCAAGTCGCAGTTTGATGATATGGAGCGACGCATGCAGCAACCGTTGGACATCATTCAAGCCCCAGTGCGAGACATCGACAGCCGCACATAATCGGTGGCAGCGGATATGGACCAAATGCGCGAGGCCATGGACGAGATGCGTCGGGAGCTCGCTCTTGCCAGCCGAGCTCATCCGCCACCCATGCCAGCTGCTGGGTTCCAACGTGACGTGGACGGTAACATTATCAAGATTGTGGCGCCGACTCTGGTCAAAAGGAAGATGTGGTCTCGTCAGTGGACAGGTGGTTGCACCACGCTGCGCTGAACAAATACAAGGTGGTCGGAGATGCTCAAGATAAGTTGTTCACGATGCATTTCAATGGGGCATCTGGTACCGCTGGGAAAAAAAGGTGGGCCAGGCTCTTGCGGCCCTTCGCCTTCCTGGGAAGGGGCAGTGGCTGCGTTTTCCAGCCCCGTCTACCACTGGCGGCACTACGCAGTTGCATACCGGCCCTGGCACGAGCCCCCCTACCAGATCAAGCAGGAGATATCAGGCAAGAGAGTGGTCTTGCTTCTTCGGGGGAGCTGCGCGTCCTCGAAGTTCTACTTCGACAGGCAGAATGGATGGATCACCGAGAGTTGGAACCCGATCCTCCGCTTGGAGCCACAGCCTGGTCGGGGTGCTACTCGCTGCTACTGGCACGATGCAGCGTCGTCTTCTCGTGGCCGGACACGATCCGACACTCGCAAGCTCATCGACCCGATCCTGGCACCTACCGCGGCACCTGCGTGGTCTCCTTAGCGAGTTCGACAATATCTTTGTGCATTCCGCGGAGGCTGGTGCGGATCCGAAGTCGCCCGGGCTCTCCTTCGTCTCGTGGAACGCGAGGGCTTTGCTGCGCTGGCGAGGCATGCAGACCATGAGCAAGGCCACCCACTCGGTCAAGACGGGCATCACCAACTCCATCTCTGCGGCGCAGGAAGTCCACCAGACCCAAGAGGAGCTGCAGTTCTTCACGTTCGGAGTCGCGCCGCCTTCGACAGCGTTTTGATATGTTGCGCTCGATGGGGTAGGCCGCGCTCGAGGGGATGCCGCCGCGGTTGCGCCTATCTCAATCGCCGCAGCTTCGAGCGCTACACCGTCTACTCTCGTTCGGGGCTGAGTACTGATGGCAGTTGTGCATGGCTCTCGTGCTGATATTCGGCTTTTCAACGCACATTACCACGGCCTCTCGCTGCCGCAGGTTCAGGCAATCGCGGCGGAGCTCGAGGCGGACTTGGCCCGGGCTTGCGCTGACCCTCGGGCACGCATGGCGGTGGCACGCGGCGACTACGATTCTGCGCCCCGCGATGCTTCGCACCCTGCGCGGCCAGAGCTCGCGCGGAACATCAAGCCCACCAACGGCGCGAGGATTCACGCGAAGACCTGGGCGCAGGCGCCCAAGCAGATGCTCGAGGTTGCTTCGGAGGACCCCGTGCATTATTGCAGAGACTCCTGCGCGCCGGCACAAAATGATCGATTCTGGACCTCTGAACCGAGGTGGATGGCTCGCCAACTTCAGCACTCGGCCGCGGCGGTTTCTACCCCCGAGGAACTCTGCGCGCGGGGGATCAGATCGCGCGACAATTCGAGTTCATGTTCAGCATTGACAGCAAGATGGCGCCCATCGCAAGCGCGTCCGCGCACGTACTTATCAACGGCTTCTGCAGCAGGGAGCATTTTCTTCGCAGCATTGTCGCCACCATAGCAGTTGGAACGACGTCGAACTCTGCTCGGCACGGCCGCGCGCGACGCTGCGCATCAAATATAGGTCGACGACGCCGATGGCCTGGAAGCCTAGCTGATTATCGTTCGGCAGGCTGCGCGGGCCATCTGGAGGCAGGACGAGGCGGCGGCGGTGAAGGTCCTGAAATCGTCGGATGTGGCCCACACTTGCATGTCTTCGTCGGGCGCGGGGGTTGAGCTGGTCGGCCGCGACGCCTTCCAGGCCCGGGCGGGCCCCGTGCGACATGCAGCTGCTGAGCGCGATCTCGAAGCCCTGAACCAGGACGCGCTTCGCGGGAGAAGACGGGCCAAGCCGGCGCCAGGGGCGATTTCAGCAGCGCAGCGGATGTCGAGATTGTGGGTTCCGCTTGCAAGACGGTTCGCGTTTTGTGCTGTTCGCGCAGGCGGCTCGTTCCACATTGGCCCAGGGGCGAGGCTGACTGCGCTCGCAGACTGCTGGCCCCGGCATCGGCGCGGTCACCAACGCCCCCTCTGCGCGCCAAGCTCCACGCGCAGAAATTTGCTTCGACATGCGACGACTCGAGCATGGCGCCACTATCGCGGCAACAACTTGCACGCGCCCTTCGCCAGCTGGCTCCATCTCGGTCGGCACCAGGCGCGGAGGGCCTTCCACGCGCGGCGCGGGCCGCTCACAGTGGAAGGGCAGATGTGCTATGGCGGGCGCGTGTCCGGACGATGGATGGTCAGAGGTTACTCATGATTTCGGGGTTTATTTCGTTAGCTTTCCTGCCCAAAGGCCGTCAGGCGGGCGATGGCGATGGGCGCGGAGTCGTTCGGTCTCCAGATTCAGTTCGCACTCTTGGGGTTCGGAATACCGATATGAAAGTTCTCTCCGCGACGCCCAATGCCTCCCTCATCCCGATTGCGCGGCAGACGACGTCTCTGGCACAGCGCGGCTTCATTGCAGGTCGCCAGTTCACGACCGACATCCTCGAGCGCGACGCGATGGCACGAGCGGCATCTACGGCGCCACAGGCGGAGACCAAGTGCCCGCTCCATGGTGGCGCTGGACTTCGGCCGGGCGCTCCCCAGCCTTAGTCAGGAGCACCTCCTCGCGATCCTGGAACAGCTGCAACTTCTTGCCGCGCTACTGGCGGATTCCCGGTCGCTCTGCGCGATGGTCGTCGCCGTCGGCCGCGTCGCGGGGCCCCCGCGAGACTTCTTCCAGATCTTCTGCGGCATCATACAAGGCTGCGCGCTCTCTGGCAGCTCTTTCGCCGCGGCGACGTCACCCTTTCTCGAAGATCCCAGGCTCGGCTTGGAGGTCAAACATCGGGGGGGGGCCCT